TAAGGAAGCAGAGGAGCCCTCTTGCCATCCTCTCACCCCTCTGGAATGAGGCAGGGCTGAGCGTCGCCCCAGGGGCTGCAGCGTGCGCAGAGCAAACCTTTTTGGGGTTGTCTCAAATAATAACCAGAAACTGTTCCTGCTCTAATCTCTCTCGTGTTCAGGCATCGCAGGTGTGACGTGTAACAACAGGAGGTAGATAATGTTCACAGAGAATGGGATGTTTTGCTCGACAGGGTCCTTTTTCAAACCTTTTTCATCTCCAGGGCCCTTTGATGTTCCTGAGGGAGCACCTTGCTGACTCTGCTCTTGTCATCCTGGATTCAATTTAGGGGTTTGAGCCCAATTCCACACTGTTTAGCCTGGAAAAATTTGGGGTCAAACACCAACTTTTGAGTGCACAAGAACCAAAAATCTTAAACACACAGAACTCCAAACACACATAAACTGTAGACAGAGTTCTCTCCCAGCACCTCTAGACTGAGGATTGAACCAGGGGGCACAAACCAGTTCACTAACAGGCACCTTCTTGGGATAAATCCTCATGTTTTTAGCCTTATTTCCCCCCAGAAGCGGGTTTTCCATCCCATCCAACTCAGTTTCACTCACACAGGCACGTTTGGCATCTCCTGGGCCCCTTCCTGGAGTCACGGGAGATGCTGCAATCCACTGGAGAAAGCAAAGTGAATCCCTGATGTTTCTTTTGCTAAATGCTCCTCACCCATTTCACAGAGCCTGTTCCTGGCAGTTATGTGACAATTCAGCACAAATGTCATGGAGCTGCTAAGTTTGCAGCACTTTCCGCAGTGCTGAGGCTGGAAAACGGTGCATATATAGTTTTTTTTGCTGATCCAAGTCCTTAGTAATTACACTTAATAGATCCCAGAGGGATTCCTAGGTAACCTGCACTATGGTTTCCATGGCAGAGAGGCAGAGCTTGTACCCTGTGATAACAGATAATAATGGATTGTTAATGCTTAAATTAATTATGCTACAATTGCATTTGTAAACCAGCTGTCCCTTGTATTCCCAGTAAGACTCTTGAGTTGCTACACAACAGTTACAGGATAAAAACAAACAAGACAGAGGGGCAGAAATTACTCTACAGCTCCAATTACTGTTATTACTCCTGTGCCATATAGCAAGGGGTTATTCATATTTTAGTGTATCCATGAGTTTAGGTCTAAGTTTCTGTTCTTTAAGCTTGGAAGGAAACCTAAGAATTCCTTGGAGACTCTCCCTGTTGATACAGAAGGACCCTTTAGCCCAGCTAATGTGCGTTGCCCATCCTTGGCAGATGTTTTCCTTCTCCTGTGAAGCACTCCAGGATCTAGTTATATAGAATAAAAATAAAAAGTCCCAGCCTGGATTTGCTGGTGAAATTCTCGCCGGAGGATGCTTGGGCACACCAGAGCTCGCTGGAATGTTTCCTTTCCCGAAGCCAGGCTGGTAGCCATGCTGGGTGGGATTCATCCCACGTCACTTGGGCTCCAGACAGCCTGGATGGGGAGTGCAGGCTGGATGTCTAACATTTAGACAGCTAAAATTGGGTGAGAGGACGCTGCCAACTGGCGTCTGCTTCCCCGGGAAGCGGGTTCTGGACGGGCGGGCACGGAGCTGGGAGGCAGGATGGTATTCCAGAGCCGAGCCTGGCTCCTGGCTGGCAGGAAGGGTGGTTTAACCAAATCTCCCAGCTCCTGTCAGCCTGATTTCACAATTTCCTATTGCAGGGCTAAAGAGAGTGTCGGAGCTTCTTGCTGTCTTTGACACACAAAGCCCAGCTCAGGAAATAGGCCCGACTGGCCTCGGGGTTTTCTTTGGGCTCCAGGAGATCCCTGCCTGTGGCAGGGGGTTGGAATGAGATGATCTTTAAGGTCCTTTCCAACCCAAACCGTTCCATGATTCTATAGAGGCTAAAGATGAGAGAAAGCCCCACCAGACAAAACAGAGTTTCAAATCAAGGGCTCTGTCTCTTCTTTCCAAAGGCAGTGACTCCTGTTAAGGGCTTGGGATGTGGTGGGAAGAGTTGTAAAAGCCACTTGTTCTAAAACAATGACTGAAACTGCAGCAAAAGGGAGTTCAGTGACCTGTGGTCAGGCTGGGCTCAGCAAAACATCTCTTCCAAAGCAGAGCTGCAGAACTGATTCATCTCCTGCCCGGGCACCGAGCAGGAATCACCTCTTGGATGACACATATCCCAGGCCATCAAAGGAGAGAAGGGCAAGTGTTTCCTCTGAGCAGAGGTGAAGGCACAAAGACCTGACAAGATAGAAATAAGCCAGACATAAGGGTTTAGAGGTGCAGCAGGATTCATAATTGGAGCTAAAACAGAAGTTTTGGAGTCTCAAAGCTGCTTATCCACCAGCTGCCATGGGCAGGGCTCCAGCCCCACACCGGGGGAGCAGCCCTACCTGCCATTCCTGCCTGGAGAGCCCTCTGTGGAGCTGGCACAGGGACGAGGGTGTTAAAAAGGAAGGAACTGTTAAAAGGAAGCAGAATTTGTGAGTTGTCAGACAGTCAGAGCTGTTCAGTTCACAGAGACCCCTCCCCTCCCTGGTCATCCTATTCCTGGGATGCTTTTGCTGGCAAATGTGGAAGATCCCACCCATGCAGTGGCAAAGGAAGGATTTTCTCCTGCCTCTGCACTGCAAAAGGGGATGCAGGATGCAAACAGGCACAGACTGAGCCAGGGAACCGAGCAAAACATCCGTGCAGGGGAAGGCAGGTGCTGCCGATGGAAGTGGGTGTTGGCTCCCCCCATTCTTCCAGGTGAGGGCACTGCTTTGATGGACTGGTGTGTAAATCATAGAACTGTGGAATCATTTAGGTTGGAAAACGCTCTAAGATCAAGTCCAACCATCCCCCAGCACCGCCAAGGCTACCACTAACCCATGTCCCCAAATGCCACATCCACAGGGCTTTTAAATCCCTCCAGGGATGGGGACTCCACCACTGCCCTGGGTGGACAATCCTTTTGGTGAGGAATTTTTCCCTAATATCCGATCCAAACCTCCCCTGGTGCAACCTGAGGCTGTTTCCTCTTGTTCTGCTGCTTGTTACCTGGGAGAAGAGACCAAAGAAGTGTATCCCTGGATACATCCCATCAGCATCCTGTGAACACCAGTACGAAGGGTTGTGATCTCCAGCAGCCCAGCAGGTCCATCCCAAAGCATTTGTGAGGAACACCAGGGAATTGAAAGGGTCCAGTGGTGTGAGCAGAGCAGGGGCACAAATATTTGCTGCTTTTTTGGCAGGGAACTCAACCACTGAGTGGCCCAGGGCCGATGGAAGCACGGCTGAGCCCTCCCTGGCTGCGAGGCCGAGGGATCCGAGAGCATTCCCTGTGTCCCTGTGCCCTGCCAACAGCAACAATGACAGTGCTAATCGCCTGCAATCTGTTATTATATTACCACGGGCTCAGAAATGGTAAAACCCAATAATCTTGTGAAATGCAGCTAATCCCCCCCATCCCAATAACGCCGGCGCGGGGCTTGGCAGCGGCCGGGCTGGGGAAGGGGGAGGGCTGGCAACAAGGGGGTGGTTTCTGCCTTTGGAAGCAGCCGGGCGTGGATACCTGGCTGCCAGGAGAGGCTCTCCACAATCCCTCCGTTGGTTGGCTGTCTTTGACCCTGTTGCTAAGCTACAAATATGCCTTTCCAGCGAGCTCCAGCATCCTCGCTCCCACCCACTCCCAACTGCGAACTGAATCAGCCTGCTCGGAATGAAACGAGCTCTGGCCAGCAAGGAGAGTGTTTTTGCCTTTTATTTTCCAGCAGCTCTGCAGAGTGGCATAAGGAAAGCTCCCAAAGGGCACCCACCCCTGCCCCGAGCCCTCCCAGCAGCCACAGAAGCGTTAGGAGGAGGACGGGAGCCTGGAGAAAGGATTTAGAGCATTCCAGGCGTTTAAAGCTGGCACAGCTCGGCTGCAGCAGGAATAGCTGAGGATCCCAGCTACTCCAAGAAATAGCTACCACCTACCTGCACACAAGATTGCTCACCCTGGTGTGAGCCACGTTAACATTCTGGGACGGGGAATGTTTGGTGACGGGGATGAGGAGGCAGGGATGGGGTGACAGGGATAAGGTGATGCCATGGATGTTTTTCTGACCAATGTTCTGCACAAAGATGTGTTGGAGGGTTGTCTGCAGTCCCCACGCTGAGGGGTCCCTTTCTGTCATTCCTGGGATTCTGACGGGGTCCAAGAGCCACATCCTCATCAGGTCCCATACAATTGTCTGGGCTGTCCTTATGCTCAGTGGAAAGCAATGGATGCTCCTGGGGGGATGTTCAGCCCAGGCTGTGGTGGGTGTTCCATGGGCCAGGGTTCCTGCAATGGTTTCCAGGCAGAATCACACAATCATGGAATGGTTTGGGTTGGGAGGGACTTTAAAGCTCATCCAGTTCCACCCCCTGCCATGGGCAGGGACACCTTCCACTATCCCAGGTTGCTCCAAGTCCTGTCCAACCTGGTCTTGAACACTTCCAGGTAGTTCCCAGGAGCTTTATTTGGTTCTTATAAACATCAGAAAAGGTTATTACAGCTTTCCCAAAATGTTGCCTGAACACAGATCACTGTGTCCTGGCCTGATGTTTGCCATCACCAGAAGGCCTGGAGAAACAATTGTGTTTATTGGGAAACGTCCTGTGGAGACTCCTCCAAACCATCCCTAAACACCTGTATGATCCAATAAATGGGGTTTTTTCTTCCTTTTCATTGACCACCTGGTAAACAACCAATTTCATTTTTTTAAGGCCAGATTTCCTATGGGAATGACACAGGGAAGTCCATGTCTTGGTCAGTGGGTGCATCCAGGTGTTTGCTTGGTAGCCTAAAAAAATTCACTGAGGGTTTCTGGGCACTTTGGGATCATTTGCTGGGGTGTCAATCAGGGTTTGCCCATCCACAGACCTGCCTGGACCCCACAGAGCTCCTGACCCTGCTACAGGGCAGCCTTGGGCAGAATTCCAACGTTCTAACTCCTCTCCTTCTCTTTCTCTTCCAGGGTTCAGCTCCCATCCTGGTAGTCATGGTGATCTTACTAAATATTGGAGTCGCCATTTTGTTTATTAACTTTTTCATCTAATTCAAGACTGTCTTGTTTGCAAAAATAACAGTTACATGTATGAATGGGGGAAAAAAAAACAAACAAAAAACAAAAACAAACCGGAACCAAACAACAACAACAAAACAAAGGGAAAAATCATAACTCGAACTGTCCTCCGACAATTTCCAAGTCTTTTCACAGAAGAACAACAAACGATCGAGTCTCACTCACAGTTTGCCTTTTTTCCTGGGTAATGTTTTTTGGATTTTAGCCAAAATTCTTTGCTTGTATAACACTATGCTGTGTGGCATGGCAAAATGCTATCAACACTCTGCCCCCCCAACACTGGGAAGGATGAGAAGGAATCCCAACAAAAGAAAACCTCGTTTCCCTTCCCCTCACCCCCCATCCCAAAAAAAAAATATGGTCATAACAACAGTAATGAACCCCAAACTGGAAATGAGCTGGGGGGACCATGGGGAGAGTTTGTTTGATGTATGTACGGGTGCTGGGATGCTCCAGGCTGAGTTTCCCAGGGAAATCCACAACAGCTTTAATGACAAATGAGAGAGAAAAGCAAAATCATGCTTTTCTCCCTTTGGAAATGGAGGAATGTTGCTGTAAGAAGGAGGAGGGAAGGAGCACAGGGAAGGCATGAACCCTGTCTGGATGGAAAAGATGGGAGAAGGGGCCCCATTTTGGTATTTGTTTTTAAAACAAAGCAGCAATTGGCCTTTCCCAAAATTCCTTGGGGCAGGGGGGGAATAGGGAACATGAGGTGTGAGCAGCAGGCCCACCACCCTCCTGCCTTCACTCCTCCTCCCCAGGCTGCTCCCCGACATGGCAAGGCTGGAAAAACACCCAGTGCTACTTTTAATTCACAGCCAATTTCTCCTGGGTAAAAACATGTCCCTGGATTCCCCCCAAAAAAAACTTGGAGGCACCATCAGCAACCCGACTTGCTGGTCATTGTGCTGTGCTGGTGAGGAGCATCCCAGCCCATCCCATCCCAAAGTGTGTGCACGGAGATGCCGGGGAGCAGATTGGTGGGGAGGGACAGGGGAGAGAGGGCTCAATTCCGACCCACTTGGGATAACAATAAAACAAAACCAAGCAAAAATAAACCTGTTTTTCCAAGGCATCTGGGGAGGAGCACTGGAGCATGTCCCAGAGAGGAGGGAGAGGGTGGTGGGTTTGTCTCTTACATCTTGCTGTGGACTGTTTCAGACATCATGCTTGGGCTCTGAGCATGTAGTATTTTGCACTTTGTAATGCAGGATGTATATTCCAGCTTCCAACATGTCCCTGTAAAAAAAAAAAAAAAAAAAAAAAAAAAAAGAAAATCCAACCAACCATCATTGGCAATGGCAGCCTCTAAGGATGTATTCTTTTCTTTCTTTTTTTTTTTTCTATGTCACTTAATTTGTTTCTACCATCTTTGTACTATGCCTGCCTTGATTTTGTCCCCTCCCCTTCCCCACGGATAATCTGCATACTCATTAAAGATGCCGTATCCCTGTTCTGAGCTGTCATGGTCCCAATCCCAGTGCAGTCTCAGCTCCATTCCTTGGAAGTGGCCGATGGCCCCTCGCTTTCCCAAGGGACTGTTCCCTCCCCCCAGGTGGAGATCGGCTTTGCCGGTGATCCACCACCACCAGGCACAATTCCAGTGGCTCCTTTGGGATTTGGTACGTCCAGGGACCAAATTCCACCCTCAGTTCTCCCCACTGCAGCTCTGTGCGAGTGTGGCAGCACCCGAGGGTGGGATGAAACCCTCACACGGATATTTGGGGGGGTGGGAAAGGAGGGGGAAATCCCTCCTGGACATTCACATCCAGAGTTGTTGGATACAGCCCGGATTTGTGGACTCAGCTTTGCTTTGCTTCTGTTTTAGCTGTTTCTCTGCTACCTTTTCAGCAGATTTCTTATTACACTGCACTGGATTGCTATATTTTTAACCAGAAATAAACTAAGGATTAGAGCATGTGCCAGTTAAATTCAGTTCTTTTCCTTACATGGTCTGATTCCCTCCTGTCGCAGCTTTTCCTCCTCTTTTCCTTCCTTTCCCTTTCCAGGCAGAGGGCTATGGGTGGACAGGGGAAAGGAGAACTTTGAAATTTAAATTTCCACAGTAACTGTCCATCATCTTCCCACCTCTTCCTTTTTTTTTGTTGTTTTGGTTTTCCCTTTTGGGTCCTTAGTCATCACTTTTTCCCTCTTGAATGGTCTCCGCACACTCGAAATGAGCCAAATAACGACAGGTTGTGATTGCAGCCCTGGGAACTCACCCTGGGGTTTGTGATTCTGGTTTTACTCTTTGCAAAGACTCTTGAGGAGGAGGGGTTTTTTTTGGACATTCAGGTGCACATGACACAAAGGTCCCGCTAGGAGCTGGTTAAACAGATCCCTGCGAACACAGTAGGATATTTAGATACATATAAACCAGCACAAAAAAACCTCATTACCAACCCAATAAAAGTACTAGTGATTCCCTGACTCGTTTTTCCCACTGGTAGACTGACTAGTTATTGTTGTTCTTGCCCCTGGACCAGCATAAATCCAATGTGGATTTCTAATTTCTCTGTTCCAGTCAAGCTCAGTAGAAAAGACAGTCAAGGACTAATATTAATTGGCTCCCAAACCACGTGGTTAAAAAATAATGATGCCTTTCTTAATCCTGGGGAGCTGAGCAATTTTTCTTATTCCTGGGCTTTTCACATTTGCCCAAGGCCAGAAATATTCTTGAGAAGTAGCCCGGAGAGAGAGGTAATTCAGTGTATTGCCCTGTCTTATGAGCCCTAGTTCCTGCAGATCTACCTGAGGCACATTAAAATGTCTATCAACAGGGCACATAAATCCATGGAAATTGTCCAGACCTGCTGTTTTATGTCCATGCTGGCAGATGCACGTGGACACTTGAGGTCTAGATCATTTTTCAGGCTGCAATGGAATTTTTATGTTCCTACAGCAGAACCCGAAGCACGAGGAGGGGCTGGGGCTCAGGGAACCATCCCACCTGCTGTCACAGCAGATCCACTGGGAAAAGGGCACCTGTCCCTCCCCAGGGAGACTTGGGACCTGGGCCAGACCCCACCTGTGTGAGGGATGGGCTGGTCTGTCAGTGCATCCCTGGGGAAGACAAAAAGGAAGGAAGGGAATGAAGACAAACCCCTCTGCCTGCTCTTGCCACGTCAGCTTCTCACCAGCCCATCTGGCGTCTGGGTTGCTGTACCCGAGACCCAGATTCTGGGACTCTCCAGGGCCTGATCTTCCAGAGATACTGAGCTGTGGCAGCATCTATTTACCTCGTGTGGAGTTGGGAAGTGCTGCTGGGAAAAAACCATCCAGACTGCAACAGAAGGGGAGGGGCAACAGGAGAAACGATGTTGGATGGATGGTGAAGGTCTTAATTGAAACCTAAGGACTAATTACACATCCTGACAGGCTTTGCCAAGTTAAGGGAGGGTGGGAAAGCAGGAATTTTTGGAAGCTGTCAGAGGGTGAGGTTGGCTCCAAGGGTTTGTGCCAAGGTAGAACTGAGCAGAGGCAGGATGGGATCTCCTGTGGGGCCTGTGGGTGAGGTGTTTGCCCAGAACAGGGGCCCTGCACAATCCGGACACTGTGGCAGGGTTTCCTGGTTTAGGGAAATACATCGACTCCTTGCACAGCCTCTACATGAACTGCATCAGCTGTAGAATCATAGAACCACAGGGTGGTTTGGGTTGGAAGGGACCTTAAAGACCACCCAGTCCCACCCCCTGCCACGGGCAGGGACACCTTCCATTATCCCAGGTTGCTCCAAGCCCCGTCCAGCCTGGCCTTGGACACTTCCAGGGATGGGGCAGCCATGGCTGCTCTGGGATGTTTAGTGCTGGTTGGATCCACCCACCCAGTGGTATTGCTGGAGCAAGAGAGTGGAAGTTTTGCCAATACAGACCAGACCAAGAATTAACCCAGACTGCAGGAGGAAGGATGAGATCAAGGCAAACAAGGAATTTGCCAGCAGATGCCTCTAGTTCCCCTCTACCAGAGAAGGGTGAGGGAGAATCTTTCCCTGTACAAAGCTAACCTTCATCCTTGGCACTGCTGCAAACCAGCTTCAGCTCCAGGGAAAAAATCCTGTCAGTGTGTATCCCTGGATTTGCAAAGGGAAGAAATGGTGAAGTAAATCTGGCAAGAAGTGTGTTCTCCCCTGTCTGGTTGGACCTCTGGACTGGGGTCTTGTGCACAGTTGTTGTGATTTTAAAGCTACTATTTTTCAAACAAAAGTAAATTAGTAAAAAAAAATAATTCAAACAAAATCTGCACGTGCAGCTCACTGGCAGATTCCCCAAAACTCTGCACACAAAGACATGGACTCACCACACACGAAGGATCAAATGCCCACAAGACCAAGGTGAACTCACCCAGTGACCCCAGGGTGACTGACTGAGCACAGGTTCTCTCCCAGGTTATCAATAAAGGGTTTGCTTTGTTTTCACCTTTCCCAGGTTATCAAGAAAGGGTTTGTTTTCATCTCTCACCTGTTAGCTTGTGGGGAAGGTCCCTCCCCATCAAACATGTTTTTCCCTTGACAATTCCATCCCCCTGGCAGCCTGCTCTGTTTAATCCTCCTTCCGTTCTAATTATCCTGGCAGATCCCAGCCCTGCTCTCCTGGGATTTGGCTCCCTGGTGATGTCCCTGCCAGTGCAATACCCCTGGCACCTGGATTTCCCTGCACAAGGACAGCCAGTCCTGGTGGCACCTCAAGTCATCCCTTGTTTGATGCAGCACACACTTGGATCCCATCTGTTGTCCCTATGGACACAGCACTGCTCTGCTGGGAAGGGAGCAATGCCTTGAGGAGAGAGAGGGGCTGAGTGGGGAAAAGCAGTTCCTGGAGTGTCAGCCCATTCCCTCCTGTCCTCAACACTCCACCAGGTCTCCAGGTAGGACATTTCACTGGTCATAAAGAGTTCCCCTGTAGGACAACTGGGCCAACATGTGAGAAACTGAACTTGGGGAGAGATTCCCCAAGGAAAGGCATAACCTGGGGCAGAGGACAGGAAAAAGGAAGAGGATTCTGTTCATGCATCAGGGGTTACAGTGGTCCCCATAAAGAGGAGGTAGGAAAGGACTCCCAGGTTTCTCCAGGCAGGGCAAACACACCTCAGGGCTACTGGTGCACCTTACAACCAGTACCTGTGTATCTCACAGCAGGAACAGCGACCCCTCTTCCACACCAGGAGAAAAACAAGTAGAAAAGGCGGGACTGGATGAACTGAGAAAACCAAGATGACGTAGCCAAGTAAGTTTATTGTAGAAACCCTTGGAGACACTTTCTGGCCCCAGTCAGGGTGGGAAATTTGGGACCAGCGAACCATTGTGATGTGCAGTTTGTCCTGACAGACTCAAAACAAAGAAGTCAGTACTGTATAGCCCAGCCTCAGCAGAACAGGTGCTTGGACAGCAATCCTGTTCCTCAAGACCCTCCCACAACCTTCCCGGGAATAACAGCATATCCAGAGCACTAAGCAAGGAGGCTGCTCAGCCCAGAGGCCCTCAGAGGAGGGAAAAGCTGGAGTGCCAGGATGCCTTCTGGACATCAGGCTGGGTTTAGCAGGGCTGACCACTGCTCCCAGCACGTTTGTTCACTCCTGGAACAGCCTCAGCACCGTCTAGGCCGAATCCTCATGGAATGTCTTTGCCATGGCATGAGCCACCTTGACCACCTTCTTCTCCTTGGCCTCGGGGCCCATGTGGCTGCGGGCCACTTTGATCCAGTACTGCTCTGTCCTGGACAGGTATTCCTCAGGGTTCTCACCAGGCTCCACGGCTGGGTGCTGCTCCTCTCCTGGTGCAATGGGAGGGAGACACAAAGAGAGGTCACAGCCAGGCCAAGAACACTCTTCAGCTCACGTGTCCAAATGTAACACCCTCAAAATCTACCAGTAACCAATAAAACTCTTCTATCCCAAGAGCAATATACTATGAAAGCTTTGCTTTTGCTGGAAAACTCACCTGGATGCCAGTGAGACTTTCCAGGCTGGCAGCAGAACCAGGTATTTTACTTTAGATTAGTATGGAGAAGGCATTAATTTGATCATTACCTTCATCATCTTCACTCTCCTCTTCAGAGCTCTCCTCTTCCTCTTCTCCTCCCTCTGCACCTTCCACATCATCATCCTCTTCATCCGACTCCGACTCCTCCAGCCACTCTTGGGCTTCTTGGATGAGAAGGGAAACAGAAGAGAGGTACAAAGAGATAATTAAGGTACAAAGAGATTACCTTAGAGATAATTAATACAAAGAAATAACCCCAGAGATAATTAAGGT